GCAAGGTCGTGAGTTCGGTTCCCGGTACCAGAGAAAAACCAAAAAAATAAATAAATAAATAAAAAATAAAAATCTTGAGACAGGGTCCTGCTAAAGAGCTACACTGCCCAACCTGGGTTCAAAGTTGCAAGCCTCCTGCTGCATCCTTCCACAGGGCTGGAATTCCAGATAAGCAGCACCACACCCCACTCAGTTCATTCTTTTTGTCTTGTCTTTTTGAGACAGGGTCTCGCTCTGCAGTTCAGGCTGGCCTTGAGCTCACTATGTAGCCCAGGCTGGTCTCGAACTTGCAACGATCCTCCTGCCTCAGCCTCCCAAGTGCTGGGATTACAGGCGTGTGCCACCAAGCCCGGCAGTTCATTCTTATAAAGAGTGTAACAGAGCCATCCTCAGAAAGTTAGGAAAACCCAGCATAGATCAGAAATTGTATCATTTTCATGAATCAGCTCAAGTGAGAGCCCTGACAGGAGGAGTTTCATTATGGAGTCTAAGGTGCTGGGTTCCTAGGAACTTTAGGAGATTGGTAGCAGGATCGTAGTTATTCACTGTGGCATAACAAACCATCTCTTGGTGGGCCTATGGCTCAGGAATTCAGGTAGAGCTCAGCGGGAATGCTTGTCTCAGCTCCACAACGCCTGGGCTCTTATGTGGTAAGACTTAGGGTAACTCAAATGTTGGAATTTTCTAGAGGTTCTTTACACAGAACATCTGGTAGCTGGGCTGGGATCACTCGGGAACTGTTGATTAGAGTGTTGACATGTAGCCTTCCACATGGCTCAGGATTTCTCAGTGTATGGTGACCTCGGATGGTTTATTTTTCACATGGCACCTTACAGATCTAAGGGTGAGTCTTCCAGAGAACAAAGTAGACTCTGCATGACCTTTTCTTTTTTTTTTTTTTTCGGTTTTTCTCCGGTACCGGGAACCGAACTCAGGACCTTGTGCTTGCCAGGCAGGCGCTTTGCCGCTGAGCTAAATCCCCAGCCCCTGCATGGCCTTTTCTGATCTGGGCTCAGCAGTGTCATGCCCGCTGTGTTCCACTGGTCAATACAGTCAAATTCACCCAGATTCAAGGGGAAGTACTTAGACCCCACCGCTCAATGATGTAAGCCTCGAAGAAAACGTCCTTGAAAAGCTATCGCAATGGGTATCACAGCCTCTTAGGATTTCCAGTAATCTTTTTGGACTAGCTTTATGTCTTAGATATCTCTGTATGCTACAAGACCTACTGCCAGATTTCAGGCTATCAAAAGTCAAGGCTTCAAGGGGATTTGGTGGACTGCAGGAGTAACTTTGTGACACAGAGAATCCCTGTCCACCAAAATGGGTAGGTAGCAATGACAGTTCAGCAGGCCTTCCTGTATTCTTTTTGGAGCTGGGAATATATAATTCTAGAGCTTCTGGCTCTGTCAGTCATAGATTATTGCTATCTTCTCTCTACTGGAGATCAAATTCAGGGCCTTCACACAGAGCTACATTCCCACATTCTTTTTTTTTTTTTTTTTGTCTTTTTGAAACAGGATCTTGCTATGCAGTTCAGGCTGACCTTGAGCTCACTTTGTAGCCCAGGCTGGTCTCAAACTCGCAATGATCCTCCTGCCTCAGCCTCCTGAGTGCTGGGATTACAGGCGTTCGCCACCACACCTGGCACATTCCCACCTTCCCAGCAGCCCTCTTCTTTTTTTTTTGAGACAGGGTCTCGCTATGCAGTTCAGGCTGGCCTTGAGCTCCCTTTGAAGCCCAGGCTGGCCTCGAACTCGAAATGACCCTCCTGTTTTAGCCTCCCAAGTGCTGGGATTATAGGTGTGTGCCACCACGCCCAGCTGGGGTCTTGTTATATCGTTTAGCTGGTCTTGAACTCTTGGACTCAAGTGACCCTCTGACTCCAACCTCTGGAGTAACTGGTAGTAGAGCCCCATGCTGGCTTGCCATATTTCTGACATATCTGATCCTTTTACTTCTCTGCTATCTCCAAGGTAAAGCCCAATGCCACTAGCATCTTATACAAGCCTCTTTTTGATTTTGCCCTACCCACTTGAAACTCAGGTTCTATGCTACAGTCAAAATATCACCACCAGCAGAGTATAAATACTGAGGTTAAAACCCGCTTTCACAGACCTAGTTAATTTCTCAGAATGCAAAAGAGGACTTTTTTTTCCCCTTCTTCTGGGGGCAGTCCACAACAAAAATGGCCTACTTCCCAAAGTTTTCTGTAGTCAGCTAGGTTTTTTTTTTCTTCCTGGTGATACTGTGGACTGAATTCCGGGGTGGTTTACCACAAAGCCACAACCACACTCCTTTTGTTTTGAGACAGTCTGGCTAAACTGCCCTGCTGGCCTCAGGTTTGAGATCCTCCTGCCCCAGCCTCCTGAGCTGCTACGATTATAGGCATGCTCCATCACAGCTGGCTCAGCCAGTTCTTGAGGGTATATAAGTCTACACTGGACTCTAATTGAGGAGCCAATGCTCCCCTTTCACCCTTGACTTTCTGTGAAGATGCCAGTCCAATGGTCCTGACTCCTTTACCCCCCAGCATAAACTGTTTCTCAGAGGCCTTATCCTTTTGGGCAGTCAGTCGTCTCCTATGGGCCAAGGCCGCTGAATCTATCTCATACATTCAGCCTCAAAGTAGTGAAGCAGGGAGCAATACACCCCTTCTTTCATCTGGTGTCCTATGTCTAGACCTATTTTTAAATATTTGTTTGTTTATGGTGCTGAAGATTGAACCTAGGGCCTTGAACATGTTAGGCAAACACTCTTTCCACCGAGCTACATCCTCAGCCCTATCTTTACATGTCTAATTCTGTGACTGTCGTCTAAGATCATATATCAATATGTGGGCCTGACACAATTTCACCTGTTTGCAGCACTGGAATCAGGACCCTGATTCTGCAAAAGTGTCTGAAGATACCTGTACATTCAGGGCATTCACGGATGGTTGTGAAGTATGTAAGTGTGGTTGCTGGAAAAAATATACATGCCCGATTAAATCGCCTATGATTTCATCAGACACAGTAGCATGTGCCTGTAAGCCCAGCACTTGGGAGACTGACATAGGATCATAGCAAGTTCAAGGCCAGCCTGGGCAAAATGGTGAGTTCAAGGTCAACCCGAACTACATAGTGTGACCCTGTCTCCAAAAACAAAACAAAAAAATCTGAATTTCAGGAAAACCATGCATAATATTTCGTTTATGGTACTGGGGATCATGCCCAGGGGTGCTCTACCACCATGTTCAGATGGTGAGCTACTGTAATTCTATCACTTGGGGCAATTTAGTAATACTTTGTCTCAAAGTAAAAAATAAAAAGGTCTGGGGATGTACTCAGTAATAGAACTTGATCCCTAATGCTGCACAAACTGTTATTTGATATTAAAAAGTAATCAGGCATTCGTATTTTTTCTTGCAACCCCATCTTTAGGCCAACCACAATTTTTCTAGGTTTTGTTTTTTTGTCTTTTTTTTTTTTCAGGTACCGGGAATCAAACTCATGACCTCGCGCTTGCCAGGCAGGCACTGTGCCGCTGAGCTAAATCCCCAGCCCCTTTTTTGTCTTTTTTGAGACAGGGTCTCACTATGCAGTTCAGGCTGGTCCTGAGCTCACTTTGTAGCCCAGGCTGGCCTTGAACTCGCAACGATCCTCCTGCCTCAGCCTCCCAAGTGCTGGGATTACAGGCATGCAACACAACCCCCGGCTATTCTAGGTTTATGGATTATGCAGCAAGAACTGATGAAGACAAAGTTTACTTCTTCTTTTTTTAAAAAAAGCGTTGTTCAACCAATTAACAATGAAATACCAGGGCAAAGGGTAAACTGAAAGAACTTCCAATTCCTTTAGCGCTAAATATTAGCACTTGATCTTAGTCAAAAGGCGGAGAAGCGATAGCGCTAAATATCAAGATGTTATTGTTGTTGTCTTTGAGACTCACATTGTAACAGAGTGACTATGAGATTGACATGTCACGGACAATTACGGCTGTAATTTCCTTGTTAAATTCCTAGAACAGAAGAATGTTGCAGCAGGGCGTGGTGGCGCACGTCTGTAATTCCAGCCCTCGGGGGAGGCTGAGGCACGGTCACTGCGACTATGCCAGCCTGGGCTACAAAGTGAGTTCAAGAGCAGCCTGAACTGCACAGCGAAACTATCTCAAAAAGACAAGACAGAAAAAAAAAAGAATGTTGCACCAAATTCTTGAAAACACACCTAGAAAATTAAGTTACGTAAGTAACAACTGTTCAGACTGATGAAGGAAAGGGCTGAACTCCCAACTATTCCACAATCCCTTGAAGCTGGCGCTGTAAACTATGGGAGAAAACAGAAATCTTCATTTCTACCGTTAAGTCCTACTACAGTCGCCATTTAGCCATTTTTAACGTTGCCTCTACAGTGTTTGTATCAGACTAATTCCCCACCAAATTTCTTCTTACAGAACATTTTTTTTCTTTTTTATTTGGTAAATTTTATTTGCCTTTAAAAAAAAAAAATCAGGGGCTGGAGATTTAGCTCAGCGGCACAGCGCCTGCCTCGTAAGTGCGAGGTCGTGAGTTCGATTCCTGGTACCGGAAAAAAAAAAATCAGGGTAAAAAGTTGCAACAGTGCAAAGGAAAGGCAAGCTTCCCTTCCATCGCGATCCCTAGCTCCTGGACCGCAGGTTCTCAACTTGGGCTGAGAGTCCACGAAAAGGATTCCCAGAGTTACACTAATTCCCTGACGTTACACTTTTTAGCATGTGGATGGGTAACTGCACTTTTGTCGAGTAAAGGATCCCAAGTTCTATCTGACGCTCCAGAGTCCTTATGAAATCCCACCGCAGGACCCACAGAAGGACTCGAGCGACTCAGACAGGAGGGCCAAGACTCTGTACTAACTTCACCCAAGTCCAGGGCTCCTTACAAAAAAAAGTACAAGCGGAGCGGCAGCAACCGCGCTCTTCCTTCCCAAATCTTCCGCCTGCCGCATTCCTTCCCTCCAACGCCTCGGCGTGCGTGACGTCATGACGCCACACACGCAGCCCCGCCCCTGCAGAGCTCGGGGCCGGGACGGAACCCGGGTTCCTCGCAAGCCCGGAATGTGAGGCTTCGGCTCGGCTGCCCGCTACTCCCTGCGCCCCTCTGGACCCGGGCCTGCGTCCGCTGCGCCCCAGCTCGTCCCCGAAAAGCCAGGGCGGCCGTGCCTCCTGCCGTGGGCCCGCGTGGCTGCCGCCGCCCCTCCGAATCCTCCGGGGCCGCAGAGGAGTTCGCTACGGAGGGAGGCGGGGGCCCTCGGGAGGCGGCGGAGGAGGAGGCGGAGGAGGAGGGAAGGAAGATGGCGGCCGTGGAGCTAGAGTGGATCCCAGAGACTCTCTACAACACCGCCATCTCCGCTGTCGTGGACAACTACATCCGCTCCCGCCGAGACATCCGCTCCCTGCCCGAGAACATCCAGTTCGATGTTTACTACAAGGTACGCGCCGGGGCCTGCTCGCCGCTCTCCGGCCGCAGCGCTGGGGCCGCACCCCCTTCCACGTCCGCGAACCCCGCGTTGACCCCCTCACCCCTCGCCGCAGGATCGCCCTCGGGGGGCCTGGCGCGGGGCCCGCGTTACCAGTCCGGCACCCCCGCCTTGCCACGTCCGCTGTCCCCCGGGCTCTGGGGCCGATAGCCTTCCCGATGAGCCGCGCTGTTGCTGGTGTTCGTTTCTGCAGCGGCCCCCGTGGCGAGGCCTTTCGCGTGGACTTGCTCTCCTGCGTCCCCGGCCCACCCGGTCCGTCCCTTCTATGTCTTTGGGATATCTCATGCCCTCTCGTCCCAGTTAAGTGTCAGCATCAGCTGGACTTTTCGCTCTTCTCCTCCCCGCACCCCTTCCTCCTTGATCATCTCGTTGCCCTCTTTACCCTGGATTTTGGGTTGTGGTTGCTTTTTGTTTTGTTTTTTTTGGTCACACTATATCAGCTTTGTTTCCTTCGTTGCTCCTTTCTGTCCCCGATCGGGAGTTAGGGATTATTGGAAATGATCTGTGAGCTTTATTAGCAAATCTTTAAAGCTTTGTGGTCTTTTTTTTTTTTTTTTTTTTGGTTGGTTTATACTTGGTGTTGAATTGGGGATTTTAGTATATGTGCTGCCGAAGCGAGCACTGAATTGGGGATTTTATTAATAAGAGATTGTTGACCCACTCTTTGAAAAGAAAGGGGCGACGTTTCCAGAAAGAAAAAAATACTTTAGAAATTTAAATCATGGCCATGTATTTGAAAGTTGCAATCTTGCAGCATTCCTAAATCGCTCCCTCTCCAAAATCCGAAAAGTCCTCAAGTCGCTCTCCGTGGAGTTCCAAGGGTAAGTGACCTTAGAGAGGGACAATTTTTGCGGTGTTCTTGAGAGGGACAACTTACGCGCTGAACGCGAAGCCTCTCTCCCCCTCCCTACGTTTGGATGTGAATATTGGATTTATTACACAGTCCCCCTTGCCTCGAATCAGAGTGGATAACTACTCTCCAGTAGCCACCCTTGCAAAATGTGACCCGGAGCAGGATTTATTATCTCTCAGATCTTAAATATTTCCTCTTGATTTACAAGTTGGCTGGAGCAGTGTAAACTGATATTAAACAGATGTGTATATTTTAATGTATATGTGATTTTTATGGCAGTTGTTTTATTGGGAAGATTGCCTGCTTTCTCCACCCTCAGTATCTTCAGAATTAGCAGCTGGCATACTGCATTCTATTAAATCCAGCTGTTTGCACGAATTGTAACAGTTACAGTATTTTTCTTCTACACATTTGGAGAAGATTCATTTTGGCTACCTATAGTATTGTTATGGTTCTTGGATTTAGAGAAAAACGTTTCACTGTTTCAAATCCCATTGATACATATAGAGTTACTTTTTTGTAGGTAAGGGAACAGTGTATTTAAAACATATTAGATTTGTCTTTTTCTTTTTTCTTTATTTGCGCTTTTTTTTTTTTTTTTCCCGTCATTTTTGAGACAGGGTCTTGCTATGCAATTCAGGCTGGCTTTGAGCTCACTTTGTAGCCCAGGCTGGTCTCGAACTCACAACGATCCTCCTGCCTCAGCCTCCTGCTTGCGTGCACCACCATGCGGGGCAGATTTGTCTCTTTCAACCTGGGAAACTGCAGCTTTGTGTGTGCTATCTCTTGTCCATTATCCTATGTGATCTTTGTGTGTGCTATCTCTTGTCCATTATCCTATCCTATGTAATCTGATACACTTTTTAGAGGAAATCACTGGGAATTTAACCTATCAAACTACTTTTACTATTTGAATTCCCTCAAAATATTCGGGTATCTTCTAGTAACTCACTTCTATTTGAAGCTTTTCCTTTGAAGGATATTATTAGCGAGTATGAACAGATGGTGCTTTTGTCACATTTTCCGTCTCACAGTTCACAAAATTTTAATATTTCTTCATTTTGGTACATTTTTACTCCTTAATAATTTTATACTTATTGTGTACTTGACACTGTGCTAAGATGAAGAAAAGGTATTTGTTTTTTTTGTTTTGTCTTTTTGAGACAGGGTCTCGCTGTACAGTTCAGGCTGGCCTTGAGCTCACTTTGTAGCCCAGGCTGGCCTCGAACTCACAACTATCTTCCTGCCTCAGCCTCCTGAGTGCTGGGACTACAGGCGTGCACCACCACGCCCAGCTTACAAGTAAAGGTATTTGATATGTGCCTGGAACTGTGTTAAGTGTTTTTACCTATGTTATTTTTTGTAAGCCTCACAGTTAAACTGGAGTATACCGTGTTTATAGGTGATAATGTGAAGTAATGTAGTCAAGGTTTCAAACCTAATATTTAGTTCCTGAGTACCTTGGGTTTTTTGCTTAGAAAGATTTCATATCTTGAGGTAGTAGATTTTTTTTTTTTTTTTTGGTGATAGCTAGCTAGCTAGCTAAATAGATTGATTTATGCAGGATCTCACTGTTAGCCCAGGCTGGCCTCAAACTCACTGTGAGCTTCCTGCCTCAGCTTCCTGAGTGCTGGGATTACGGGTGTGTTCACCACACCCAGCTGTGTGTGTGTGTGTGTGTGTGTGTGTGTGTGTGTGTGATTATTTTATGAAAGACATTATACAACTAATTTTTTATTAGCTCCTGTAGTAGAGAGAGTAAAAGTCAATCCTAGGACTCCATTCTTAATGCTATAGCAAGGAAAATGTAAACACTAAACCAGCACATAAAAATAAGATGTGTTTTGTCTGGGCATGATGGTACCCACGTGTAATACCAGCTACTCCTGAGTCTGAGGCAGAAAATCACAAGTTTAAACACAGTGTGGGCAATTTAGCAAGACCTTGTTTCAAAAATAAAAAATAAAAAAGACCTGGGATATAGGACTGTGGGAAGGCCCGGGGTTCAATCCTCACTACCACAAAAACAAAACCCTCTTTAAGCATTTTAAATCCACACAGCAGTATAAATAATCATTCCTTGCCCAACTTTTGAAGATTGTTGGAGGCACACTGTTTACAGTTTCTAATTTTCTCCACTTCAGAGCCAAGGAGAAACTCGTAATCAGTTCTTTCTTACAGTCCCAACTTCCATCACTAGGTATAGTTGTAGACAGAAGTATAATATTTATGGAATCAAAAATCTCCCATTCTTCTCGAGTGATGTAGTTCCGTGTCACTGTTGTTTTTGGTTAGTAGCTTCAGCTGGAGGAACAGTCATACCTAAAGCATTGGGAGAGGAGGCTGTGGGATGAATTGTAGGTGAAAGAGTAGGATTGTTGACTGCTTCCTAAGAAGGGATGAGAGGAATAGGTTAAATAGAAAGGGGAAAGTGTGCAATTATTTTTTTCCTGAAAGAATGGAAACCAGGCTGGGCATGGTGGCACAAGCCTGTAATCCCGGCACTTCAGAGGCTGATGCGGGAGGATTGCTGAGTGTTTGAGGCCAGTATGGGTTACATAGTGAGTTTACAACCATCGTGAACTAGATAGTGAGATCATGTCCCAAATAAACAAAAGAATGGAAGACGTTAGAATATATATTTGGCAGAATGGGAGAAATCAAAACAGAAGGAGAGGGTAAATGTGCCAGTTCAGCAGGAAATAAGTTATGGAGCACAGTCTTTGAGCAGAAATATTAATTAATGAGTCTTGCCCCTTTTTGGACTTTTCCTACTTCACCATATAAATTCAGGTACGTATTTGTCTTAAGGTGGAAGTAAGGAAAGAACACTACCTCTGAGATGAGAAGGAAATCTAAGTTATCAATATAGGTAATTTGCAGAGAGTGACTGTCTCGATTTAGAGATGAAATCATCTGCAGGTAGGAGTAGGAATGGTGGTTGTATAGGAAGAATACTTGGAGTTGGACATGGCCACTGAAGGCGTGCGAAGGAAAGCTGAGTGAAACATACATAAAAGAATGGACAGGCAGTAGCTGGATGGCTCACTAGTCATCAGTACCCTACAGAATGATAGCTTTGGTCCTGAACATTTTTTTCTCCAAGGTCCTGAACCATTTTCAATAAGGTGAATTGAAAGAATTGTTCAACTGTATACACAGTGAAAGGAAATACATTGACAGATTCTTTAAAGTTTATATGATCTTTTTTATTTTAACTGCTAAATAGTCTACTTTGTGTCCTGTTCAAAATGTAAAGTATGAACAGCGTTATGTTTTGACTAGAGGAAGTATTTCAGCAATTTATTCTTTTTTTTTTTTTCCCCCCTGTACCGGGAATCGAACTCACGACCTTGCCCTTGCCAGGCAGGCGCTGTGCTGCTGAGCTAAATCCCCAGCCCTCTATTTGTTTTCACAGTCTCATTTTTGTTTTTGTTTTAAGACAGGATCTCACTATGTTTCTCAAACTGGCCTCGAACTGGGTTCTGGTCACAGAGTAGCGGGCAGGCGTGGCTAGCAGTCTTTAGCTTGTTTGGGGGTTTGTTGTTGTTTTAATTGCATGTTCATGCTAAAACTCCTACTAATAAATGCTTGATTTAAGATTAGAGTTTTTTCTTTTTCTGTATAAATGTATGTTGTATAGCTAACTATAGCCTCAACTAATACTCTGAGAATCTTTTAAGATTTATTTGTTGGTAATAAATTGGAATAAATTTGTAGCATACAGTATTTGACAACCAAAGAGTTAATATTGTTTTCATACAGAGAGCTTAATAAGGTGAGAACTCACACTGAATGGGGAAGGGATTTAAAAGAACCTAAATAGCCAATCATACCATGTATCTGCATGAGAAGGTAATATGATATAAACATTCAGCCATCTCAGTTTTTTTATTTCTTTTTTTTTTTTTGGTTTTTCTCCGGTACCAGGAACCGAACTCACGACCTTGCGCTTGCCAGGCAGGCGCTTTGCCAGCCATCTCAGTTTAAGCTGTAAATTTATCACAGTTTGAATTAGAATCTCAGAATTTTACTTGGTATAGGAAACTGGTTAAATATTAAGCTCATATGAAGGAATTAATTACCTGAGAAAAACGAA